AGGTACAGTAAATCATTCGGAGAGTTCTGAACATGCATGGTAACTATTAATGTTTTCATTGTTAAAAAATATAAAGATCCTTTCCATTTATACAGTGTATGGGGGAAACATATACAGCTGACTATACATCAGAAGTGTCCGCCACATAACCAAATCTGGATTCATGAGGATAGGTCAGTGTCAGTATAAATTGTTTTCATAATCAGTGAAGGCTAGCTTTGACACTTAGGTCTTAGTGATGCTGTATAAACCTCCTCCTTGTTCCAGGAATACAGATCTAGATGATCCAGCTGTCTCTCAGGGAGCTATAAGACCTGCTACCAGCAGTAATCTCACAACATTTAAGATGGAATTTGGATGATACAGTTGACAGGAGAATGTCAGCAGGGTTACCAGCCTCTTGTTACTTCAATAGTGTCAACACTTCGGTCTCCTGGAGCAGTGCCCCTCATTAAGAATACTGGCCAGTCAAGCTTATACAGATGTATATATAGTAGTCTGCTCTTATTTTAGGCCCCAACTGTAATCCCTAACTTGAATTATAACTATAAAACATACTGATGATAGATTGCCCCCTTGCTGGAAAGTCTGCATCCTCGATATCCAGGAGGGGTTAGATATCCAGGAGGGGTTACGCTCACTTTCACTGATCTCTACACCCCTGGAATATGTCATAGCAAAATTGAAGGCTCAGTGTGCGCCACCTTGTTGATGAGACAAGAACACTAGTTCAATCCTTTGATGAACATCAAAAGAATCTCCCGGTCACCTAATGGTAAAAATTGACAGGCTTTGAAGTTGGGGGTGTTCCTTTGTAATCTTCAAAGGACAGGTATGGACCCAGCGATTGGTCAGGTTTTTTTTAACAGACACCAATCAAACAGCTATTTTCTACCTTTAATTTTGCCATGACATATTCCAGGGGTGAAGAGAGCGAAGTGAGCGTAACCCCTGGCTATCGAGGATGGCAAGTCTGTAAACCGATTATGAATCTGATGACAAAATAGAAATGCATATGGTTGACCTATGAATAGCAACAATGACAGGGAGGGGGGGGGGGGGGGGGGGGGTTAGAAATCCTTAGCAGAAAGAAATTTGTGACTGGCTTTTTCTACAGGCAATATACATGTATCTATGTAACCTATGAATAGGTTAATAGGGAATACTGATGATTGAAAAAATATATTAATACACTTATCTGTGAAATATGTTGAACATTAAGTTGGGCTTATTACAGAGCGTCGTATCACCAGTAAAACATTGGAATCATCTGCGTTTAGTTAGAATATTGAGGTAAAGGAGACACTGTGAAGCATACAATGTTACATAATCAGGATTAAATATAGGTGTGACCGTTTACATGGTCATGATCATATGATTGTGATTTAGAGGTTTTGAAGCATGACTCCATTATGACACACCTTTAAACAGCTTATAATGCAATTAATGTGGTGTTGGTCAGGTGAATACTACGTACTTATAGAGGAACATGTACCATACAGTCATGTTTGTGACAGAATTCTGTACATAAGGATCAGATAACCTGTGCATGGAAACTCTCATTCGTGATAATCAAATACTGGTTTTGATGTCAAGAATTCAGGATGTATAACTTATATGTTTCCTAAATGGAGCTCATGATCAGCCATACCTTTTAGTTATTTTACTTTAAAAATCACTCCAATTTGACATGGAAACAATCAATTTGTAATAAGTCAGCCTGAAATGAATTTTATATATATATATATATTATATACACAGTTTGTCATAAAAAAATTGAAGTAAAATATTACTTTAATAACAAATGCATCATGAGGCTCTTTAAGAAAAATGTCTTGAAGAAAAAACAAACTTGTAAGTATCATTGCACACACATTTTTCAAATAATCCAATACAGAATTTTAATTAAATAAACTCTTGGACATAAACTTATTCACCCCTGAAGTCACATTCTGAACTCTTCCAGTTCACCGGTAGTTCATTATGAAATTTCAGGGGTGAATGATCATGAGTTAAGGGTATTTGCAACAAATTATCAAAACTTTTATTAAAGATGTAATCCATTGCATCCCTTATGAACGTGTGATTGAATGGAAGCAGATTTTTGGAAAACCAATTCTCTGCTGGCTGGGAACACAGCTATCTATTACTTGTAGCTTGCGTTGACTGTTACGTAGATCTAAAGAATCAGCTCAGAGGTAATGTGCAATAATCCAATTTCCTTTTTTTTCTGTGTGTTTAAGTAATCCAATACAAAACCATCGATGCTCAATCACCCGATGCTACTGCAAGGTCTCTGATTATTCCAACTAATCCCCCAAGCATTGTTATTGCCCCTTCGCCTTCCAATCACAGGTGATGACACTAATGACTGCTTGGAAATTAAATCTTACGTTTTATTATATCATTGGTGAAATGGTAAGTGTTCATTCTATTTTATAATTTGAGTTTGTTTGGCCACTTTTCAGGGTTCAACTATAGTCCTTGATCTAGTCCGAGAATAGTTAACTTCAGCAAGGAATGGTGAATTACCTAAACCTTACTGGCCTTTGGACTTGTAAAATATATCATCACACTATCATTTAAAAGAGAGATTGCGTGCAAATATTTCTTTACAAAACTGCTTCAAATACAGTATATAATTACGGTCACTTTATCAGCAGAAGATGTTCATTAAAAGTTTTGTTTTCACCAAAATTACTTGTAATCTCAACCGATAATGTTCATCGTCTTTTTCATGGTATAGTTGATTTGTTTAACTTACAAAATTATAGATATACATCTAGAAAGTGAAAAGAATTTACAGTAAACAGGGGCACCCTCATTACAGCAAACATCCTTTTTGGGTTAAATACAGTAGTTATCAACTTCAACTCAAACCACTTCCACCTATCCATCAATTGTGATCCACCAAAGCTAGTACCATGATAATCCAAAAACACACAACAGTGACTCCCACTTCATAAACCCATGTACACTACCAGTACCAAATTAAAGTTTTCCATAGCTCAACTTCATATTGTTTGTTGTATATATATATATACACAGAAACCTCAAAATGTATTCTTAAACTCTGTCTTTTGTCAGTATTGATCTACTGAAAGCAATTTTGCTATGAAGAAAAATTCTGACATCATTTGATTGTTCAATCAAATTTAAGGTGTACATTTTTTAATTGAGTATTGAGTTTCAGCTTCCTTTCCAAATATTTCTAATTTGTGTACACCAAATTACCACCGACAATAAATGACCGATGGGATAGTATATATTATAATCATTATTAATTACAACCTACAGGTTTTTTCATTTGTGATACACATACAAAATAGTATGACAGTCGGTCGGCTTGCAGTTTATTTCAATTTAAAATACAAAAACATAAAAAAATATGTTTTGTTTGATACAGTGTGATACCTACTTGGCAGACAGGCTTGATCATGCCACAGAAAGAAAACTCACATGAATCACCGGCAATGAATACTCTATAACTTCATAGATTTTTTCTATAAAACAAAAGCTGCAAGTGCATAAGAAAGGAGACTTGACATTTAATCAATACCCTTTACAGGGAAAGTGGGGTCCAAGTTTCGGAGGCTGATCTCCACAACGTATTGCTGTTATAGTAACCTAGTTACTACCAACAAATCTCTCTCGTCAGAAATCAATTTCTACGTCAAACAACCATCATTCATAGCTATACACCTCATAATGACAACCACTTCATAAGTAGCGGAAAAAGTATAAGATCATGAAATATTTAGATGGAAACTCCGCTCGAATTGTTCATTTGTGGATTGTTCACAACACATAAAAATGTATAATATCAGAACCATATTGACAATTCCATATCCGTAAAGGATATCAGCATTAAAGAGACTACTACAGTGATTAATCTACAATTCATTTTTACAAATCCTTTTCAACTGTATTGCTGAAAACAATGACTCCCACAATGTTAAATTAAAATATTTCCAGAAATTCTATGTGTAAAGGACTCAGGTTATCGCATGTAGATTTATCACTGCTACTACAGTGATCCACAAACTAAACAAACATATGAAGCAACACATGTTTAATATAATATTACAACTCCAATGACCTGTGACTGGACAATCTGGAACCCTTGTGTTTTACATCATATACTGACACTCTTTTTAACCTGAACATATTTGTTTATGTAATGATGCTGTTTGGCTACTGCTTTGCGAGAGGGACATACCTTTCTTTAAATGCTATTGTTTTCAAATTATTTTTTAAATCCTCTTGATGGGAGAATCATATGTATTTGTTAATCTTGTGCAATTCATAATTATAATGATACAAATAATGTCATCCTAATCATATTGTAGAACTGCAAAACTGGAAATGCTTTTTCTCATTTATTTCTTTAATCACCTATTCACATGCAATGACTTGATCCCAAAAATAAGGTTACCAGAAACATTTACTACAAATCCCAATACATAGCTCTACATGAGCTACAAAATTTATACAGATTTGCCTTATTTATCCTTCGAGTCACTATAATAACTTATGAATTATAATTGCTATTGCCTTTAGTTATACATTTTATTCGATTTGGGTACATATCTAGAGGGAGAGCTATATAAAACTATTAGCTTTGCTTGATTTGAGATCGTGTCTGGCAATACAAAAGACCCCCGCTTCAGTGAACTCGGCGGTCTTTCGTAATCACTGACAGCTCGCTGTCACTATGGTCAAATGCCTGTCAAAATATATTTAAACTTCAAGTTTTCTAAAATGTATTGTCAGTCCCCTTATGAAAGCTAAATATAATTTGCAAAATTAGTTTAAACACTGCAAATGATCGGCAGCAAATAAATAAATAATGATGAATGTCATTCGACCACTGTTGAGTGTTGGCAGACACTGTCACAGGTAAGAAATGCTTTCCCTCAGGTAATTTTGAGATGTAAAACACCTGATCACCAAATTGAACCAAAATATAATTTCATAGAAGTTATAAAAGAAAGTCTTACCTTCAGAGTATCCTAAATCCACAAGAATACATAGAAATATTGATAAATACACTAGCGTATGAGGTGAAACTAACTTCATCAGCGCCATGTTTGTATCTCAAATAGTTTCACGCAATTTCTCGCGGAATGACCCGAAAAACCCCGAGAGTTTCCAAATTTAGTACAATGTTTTGTTTTGGTCGCCTCTGATTGGTCCATGTTTTATACACGCAACCGTCCGGGAAATTTGATGGTGCAGAGAGCCAGCAAAATATTTTGAGCTGCACTTTGAAAAACCGAAGAGGATATGAAATTTTGAGGTTATAGTTGAAATTATAGAGAAGATTGCAACGAAAACGCATTGCAAGGAACCTTGATGTGGTTGCTCATACTGTGAAATAACGCTGGTAAGTTTGGTGTCTGTTTCATCATTATCACGCTGCTAACTGTACTGTATGGCGTCTGTTGACATTTTGAACACCGAGTACAATAGAATCTGACGATCCGTCTATGGATCATTCATGTTGTGATCTTGAATTGCTTTACCCGTAAGTAAGTTCCTATTTTGAAATAGATCAGTGGTTAAAATATCTACGTCTAACGTCTACGTCTACGTTGGAGACATTCTTCTGTTTATCACTACTGTATCAGTCTACAGTACAGTAGGCCTTGATCTATTTCATTCTATTTCCGCTGTCTTTTATTTTTTTCTTATATTTCGAAGTCACGTTCAAACAGGAAGTACAAAATGACATATTTAACAAAACATTTTGTTATAAGGTTTCAAATCAAAACGGACGCTGATTTTTTTTTAGTCAATGTGGAGTTTTCTCCCTTGAATCATCCTTTTTACTTATGGGTCCAGTATTTGGTTAGTATTTTGTCAAAAGAAGAATTATGTAGCATTAGGTCATAGTCATGGTATTTCAGTGATGTTTTCTGCACCAAATCGCATATTTTTCGATAAATATGGCAGAAGTTAAAAACTTCTATAAAGGTGATATTTCACAGTATTTTAAAGTAACTGTACAGTATTGGGTTACATAACTGGGTCAGTGAGTAATCTACAATTCATTTTTACAAGTCCTTTTCAACTGTATTGCTAAAAATAATGAGTCCCACAATGTTAAATTTCAGTATTTCCAGGTTTGGTCAATCATACCTACAGCTTAGAATAACATTGGAAATCTGTACAAAGTTAAAGTGGATCAGTTTAAAAATGTAGACACATAATCTTGTTCATACAGTTTAATATATGAAAGATGTGTAAGAGAATGTCTACATTTTTAAAACTAAGAACAAGGTTTATTTCATAAAGAAAATCCAGAGACTAGTCATCAGAATTGAACGATGCCAAAGTAATATCTACCTGATCAAAGATGGTCATTGAAATATGCTTCCAGATATGATAGCTATTATCCTGACTTTCCAAATGATAATTGATTATTTGGTGATTCTAATGTCCATTTTATGGTAATAACCAAGTCTAGGGCAGGTTATACTTCCCAAATCTTACTACCTATTCTATTGTATCCATTCCCCAAATTACACACTTGAATATACATTGTTCAAAACATGTTGTCATCACTGACACACTGACAATACCTTGTTAGCTATATACAGATGGGTAACAATATATCTATGTACTGGGCTACCGATTGATTGATTGATTGATTGACACCCTGTTAACATATATAGTACTAGTAGCTGGAGCTAATATACAGGTAATTACAGGTAAGACAATCTAATCATGTGACCCTTAATATACACCACATCCTTCCCTATCTGATCCTGACACAGCAGGGTGTCAACTGCCCCTAGCTACTGGAAGTCAAAGGGACAAAAGGAATGGAAGTGACCTTTGTATCTTGCCCCTAGGTGGCCAGGTAGGATTAAGGGAGTCAGGAGTGGGTCTTGGTGTCCTGTGGTGATTTCAATTTAGTATAAATAGTTAAGTATGACCACTGACCAGTCCTATTATAAACTGAACCGGATATACAGATAGGTTATAATTAATGTTATCTGGAGACAGTTTAGACCTGGGCATGATTCAGGGAGGGGGCTTCTGGAACCAAGGACCTATTATACAGGAATTTCAATATCCTCTGTAAGATTTATATATATACTCTGGAATGTTCATGCCAAAGTAAGTGTTCTTCATTGGAAGAATTATGTCTTTTTTTCTTTGTTAACTTAAAAAATAAAATTAAAAACAAGTCAATAAAATAACTGATGTGGTTGATTTCAGCTCTTGAAAAATTAGTTTGTCAGAAAATAAAGAAGATTTAGAATACTTGTCTTTGTTGGGATAATGTATGTTTCAGACTAATTTATGAAAAGATCACGGACAGTTCATTATAAATTTATACATCATATATGATATCATGAGTTCTCATTATACATATGATATAGGGTTTTAATGGGGGAAAAAATCAAGTTCCATAATTAAATCATGTCATGATTTTTTTATCGTAAACTAAAATTCAACTAAAATATATATATATGTTACACATTTTTTTAAATCATATTAGACTGAATAACAGAGGAGAAAAAATACCAATGTTCAGGGTTCGACACTAACTGTTTTTGTTTGGTAGTCCACAGGACTAGTTGAATAGATTACTTACTAGTCCTTTGTCAATGTAACTAGTCCAACTCCAAGATTACCTGACAAGGAAAAAATTGTGTGATCTACAGCACTAAACATCAAAAATAATTGACTGTAGGAGACTAAAAATATAACTACTACCATAAATATATGGTAAAGTTTTTGGAAAATTTTGACAATCATGGTGCGATGAATATCTGATTTTTAGCAGTTTTCTAAATTTTAAAATGAAATGTTCTTATTTTATAACCGTATTTTTCACAAGTCCAAAGAACCAGTTAGGTTAGGTGATTCACTAGTCCTCGCTGAAATCTACTAGTCCAGGATTAGGGGACAAGTGTTAGTGTCGACCCCTGATGTTGTCACAAATTAAATACCAACATTAGTGGGGTTTCCTTTGATTTATTGACAGCATCATTTTGTTCCTTGTGACCTCACAATGTTTGGTTAACTCAATAGGAACAATTTATATGTTCCTGACAATGTGTTTTATATTTACAGTTAAAAAACAAAAATGATTAAGACATCCACAAGAAGTAGTACAAAGACTCCAATGGCAAGCAAGAGGTAAAGTATATACATATATATATACCTATACATGTACATTGTACAGTGGCACCAGGCTGATTGTTGCTCAGGAATAGGCATTACTTAAAAAGAATTTATGACATTGCATTTTATAGCTTGGATGTTGCTGAGCATGGGGTGAGATTTTGTGCAGGCTAAATTTTACATGTAACTCTTCTGTGATGTTTGTGTGTATAAATCACAATACTTTTCTTAAAATTTATTTTATTATCATTAATGTTTGTCAGATACCTTGATGCCACTGCCAACAAACTTGTACATGTATCAACTGTAGATGTAGGGTTGAATGTTCCTTTCATGTGCCTACATTCACCCAGTGTCATATACAGGTCAAATGTCTGTATTTCCTAGTCCCTGTCGTACTTGACTAACTTGAGGTACTGCAATGAAAGTTTACAAAATCTATGTGCATCACCACTATATGCGTTGTCTTGTTTTCTTGTGCTTCAAATTGAAGTCAGATCAACGGTTTGGTCATAAAGGATTAAATCCCCATATTTCGGATGAAGGACAGTATAATCCAAATCACTGTGGCTACATTACAAGTTAATTGTTGTTTTATTGAACATTTTATTGTAATCTGTCATTATTTAAGGAATGATTTTTATTTTTTCAACATTTATGAGGTCATAACAACAATGGGTTTATGGACATATTGAATGAATCGCGTTAGCGATTCATGTAAAATATGTCCAAAAACCCATTGTTGTTATGACCTCATAAATGTTGAAAAAATAAATATCATTCCTTATATTTACATTGACGAATCCTTTCAGTGGATCGATATAACAACGAATAAAACAAATAAACAGGGTTTGTTCCTGCTTATACACGGGTGCAACGCAGTGGCGAGAACAGTGTTTTTTCGCGGGGAAATGTGACACTATCGTGAGAGATCTTAGCAACCGTCAACAACAATAACACAACAAAATGTAGTTCCATATTCAATGTTTATTTGTAGCACAGGACACGTAAATACGTGGATATTTCACAAAGCACAGTTCAATAATATTTTAAGATGTAAGAATTAAGCATCTAGGTCGGTCGTTCCGAGTGAGTAGTTTTTGTAGTGTATTACTACGCAGTGTGATCAGGTTACTATCAGTTTCCACGTGCTGAGATTCTATGAACACATGTGTTATGCATTTATGAATGTAATTTTTGTCAATGGGTCTAAGCATACAAAATGTAAATATTTGTGTCTGAAACATTTATTTGTATATTTGGTAAGCTTAAACAAGGCATATGGTATATAATATGTCTATGGTATATAATATGTCTATGGTATATATGTCTATGGTATATAATATGTCTATGGTATATGTCTATGGTATAGGAAGTTGTTAAGAATCTCCGTTCCTTCAGTTTCCTTATACGTAAATCATTAACCAACTGCAGAGCAGTGTCTTCTCAATAATGAATGTCTGACATGTTTTCTAAAAAAAATATTTAAATGAAAGAATCATTGAAATGAAAATTCTGTTTTGCCTCTGCCATATTTATTGCCTAGTATAAGTTCAGGTCACAACTACATCTTTACCTTAAAAAAAGTTAATCAACACAAAGTAATACAACAACATTTATTCCTTACATTAAATATAATGTTTTTTTTCAAAACCAAATTATATACCTTACTTTGGTTTCATGTACATAAGACTATGTTCATTGTTACAGTCGATTGCCTCTGCCCCAGAAATATTCCAAGAAATCGGTTCCCACCCCAGGGTCCTGTCCCAAGGCACGCCCCGCCCCAAACTTCAACAAGATCCACAAGGACTGGCAGGACAAATTTGAGACAGGAAGAGTCTCTGGCAAGAAACCTTGCACTGTGGTATGTATATATGAAGACAATTAAAGTAGAGTTTCATTGTTTATATACAGTGTTCATTTTAATGTTGAAAATCAGGGCTCAGATTGACCCTCTATCGGTCAATTCAGGGAGTCATTATAAGTTTTTGGGGGTCACATCATTTAAGTAGATTTAAGCTTTGTATTGGTATAAATGTAGCCACTAATTAGCTGAATTAAGGTGAGTAGTTCAGCTGTATTGAATGTATTAGGAACACTTACTTTTCTTAAATTCAGATATATATTCAATCTATTACAGTAGAACAAACATAATTTGAGTCCCTGAGTCACTGAGTCATTGAAATGAACATGTAAATCTTCAATTTCATGAAATTTATGTAGAGCTAAATGAATTGTGGACAAATAAAAGTTTCATTGAATTTCATCAAACATTTTATTGCTGAATTCCAACAAATATTATATGTTATAGTCAATAGATGTCATCTCCAGTTCCAACATGTTTTGTTATATTGAGTACATTTAAATCAAATACCAAGGATTTATTTTAATGAAATTACAGCTATATTTCAGTCAAATGTATTACTACAACCTTTTTCTTGTGTTTATCACTCATTGGGTGTCGTTCTTATGCGGATTGCTGACATTTTGATGAGCCACACAAAGCATAAACATGGCATGGATTGCCTAGCTCTATATCTATACATACATGACACTTCATGATGTTTTCCTCAAATACCAGCCATTTAAAATCTTACAGCCACCTGGTAAGGGAATGTTAAATTTTTTAGTTAAAACGTCTTTTTTTTTGGACTGGTGATCCTTCAGTTCAGGGACGTCTGTTTTGGGTTTGTACACCTATATAAAGCCAAACTTAGATAGCTCCGTTATTACATGTCGGCTGAAAATGTCACTTGAAACTTCTCAAGTGTGGTTAAGTCAATAACTGTAGTCACATTTGAACAGTTCCTAGTGCTGAACTAGGAGAGTGCCACCTTCAATCGAAGGGCAGTAACTCAAATAACTGAGTTCATTGGGGTACGTTTTTGCACTTCAAAAAACAAATAAGCCAGCATTTGTATGAAATTTTATTTTCACCAGAAAAATAGTAATTGTGACAATTTGGCATTATTGTTTGAAATACATTGCATCAGAACGATGCATGGTAATTTATTAAAGCATGTCAAAGCCTGATTTATTGCATCACAAGTGCATAAATATGAACACTGTGATATGGTTAAGAAAACCCCCACTTAGTCTAACTTCGACCCATAAGAACACGGTTTGGACCAAGAGAAAATTTGACAAATATGCGTATTCGAATAATGCTTGATCTATGAAGTAGGATTTCATAGTTTTATGTTTAAGAGGCCAGTTAACTAGTTCCTCTGTCCCCTATGTACAGTTATATGGGGCCACTGCATAAAGTGGTTGTGATTTATTAGATTATTCCCATTACATCCAATTTTCTAAGAAATGCAAAGAAAATTTTATGAAGTAAAAAAGTGCATTGTTTAAGGATTACAGATTAATTTGATAAATAATGTGTTCACAGCCTCGAGAATTTGAAGTGACACGCCCGGGGACCAGATTTACACACAATGGTGACTCTGATGGAGAGAGTCTGCCTGATTTTGAGGCTGACCAGCTTGCCTTAGAGACAATCTTAAATGACCATGGGGTCGGACAGAATCGTATCACAGGGCGAGCCACAGTGGCCACAGAGAAACCAAGGTAAGCCAAGGGCCTGTAAGCTGTAGGAAAATTAGCTCATGAAATAGAGAGTGACCACTGAGTATCCAAGGGGCTGTACTAGAACTTTACAAGTTATGTAGGTGATATAATAGACAGCGACCACTGAGTATCCAAGGGGCTGTACTAGAACTTTATAAGTTATGTAGGTGATATAATAGACAGCCAGCACTGAGTATCCAAGGGGCTGTACTAGAACTTTATTAGTTATGTAGGTGATATAATAGACAGCGAACACTGAGTATCCAAGGGGCTGTACTAGAACTTTATAAGTTATGTAGGTGATATAATAGACAGCGACCACTGAGTATCCAAGGGGCTGTACTAGAACTTTATAAGTTATGTAGGTGATATAATAGACAGCCACCACTGAGTATCCAAGGGGCTGTACTAGAACTTTATAAGTTATGTAGGTGATATAATAGACAGCCACCACTGAGTATCCAAGGGGCTGTACTAGAACTTTATAAGTTATGTAGGTGATATAATAGACAGCCACCACTGAGTATCCAAGGGGCTGTACTAGAACTTTATAAGTTATGTAGGTGATATAATAGACAGCCACCACTGAGTATCCAAGGGGCTGTACTAGAACTTTATAAGTTATGTAGGTGATATAATAGACAGCGACCACTGAGTATCCAAGGGGCTGTACTAGAACTTTATAAGTTATGTAGGTGATATAATAGACAGCCACCACTGAGTATCCAAGGGGCTGTACTAGAACTTTATAAGTTATGTAGGTGATATAATAGACAGCGACCACTGAGTATCCAAGGGGCTGTACTAGAACTTTATAAGTTATGTAGGTGATATAATAGACAGCCACCACTGAGTATCCAAGGGGCTGTACTAGAACTTTATAAGTTATGTAGGTGATATAATAGACAGCGAACACAGTGTATCGAAGGGCTGTACTAGAACTTTATAAGTTATGTAGGTGATATAATAGACTGCGGCCACTGAGTAACCAAGGGGTTGTACTAGAACTTTATAAGTTATGTAGGTGATATAATAGACTGCGGCCACTGAGTAACCAAGGGGTTGTACTAGAACTTTATAAGTTATGTAGGAGATATAATAGACAGTGACCACTGAGTATCCAAGGGGCTGTACTAGAACTTTATTAGTTATGTAGGTGATATAATAGACAGCGAACACAGTGTATCGAAGGGCTGTACTTGAACTTTATAAGTTATGTAGGTGATATAATAGACTGCGGCCACTGAGTAACCAAGGGGTTGTACTAGAACTTTATAAGTTATGTAGGTGATATAATAGACAGCCAGCACTGAGTATCCAAGGGACTGTACTAGAACTTTACAAGTTATGTAGGTGATATAATAGAAAGTGACCACTCATCTTGTTTTATAGATATTGGAAATAAACAGTTATGATGCTTTTAACTAAAATGGGTTCAGTTTTACAGATTCTCAGTTTAAAGGGTATCCATGCATGTAACTTAACCTTCTCAAGTTAAAATGACAACATTTTGACATAATGTATGACTATCATGTTCAATATGACATTGCAGTGCCATCTTGAATTAAATGACATCATGTATATTGTTTTCATTTGAACGTGCGTTGGATTACATTACATTTTCTCCAGCGCTGGTAAGATGAAGCGAAGTCGGAGTGCCCACAGCATTGGGAAGAGGAGAGTATTCGGAGAGTTGGCATGCGATCCTGAACAGAAACAAAATGGACGTCGCCGTAGCAGAAGTGCCAAGAAAGCACTTGAGTTTTCAAAAGAGTTTCAGAAATCTGCAGGTGTGTGAATGGTGTGATTTGATACAGAATAGACAGTGCTATTATATATTTTACACATATGTATATATTTGTAGATTATCAAAGTGTTTTCCGGGTTTGTGAGTGAGAACAATTTTCTCATCGCAAGAACGCGGATAAAATCAAGTGACCACTCAAGATGTCACATGACATGAGCAGATTTTCTATTTTGAGAAAGATACATTCTCAAGTCGTTCTCTACCTCTTGATTCGTTTCATACTGACAACCAGTGATAATGAATTTATCGTACTACTGGTACTTGGCATGCACTGATATATAGATGATAATGTTAATATCTATTTGATGAAATATAATTTTACTTCAGTGTGGAAATAGTTTTATTTGTCACACCTAAGTACGAAAGCAGGAAAAACTTCATGTTTCTTCCTTTTTTTAAAAAAAATCAGGACTAATGAAATCGAGAATATGTATATCAAATTCAAAGTCCAGGTCCCTTTAAATTCAAAAATACCAATGCTTGACGTAATGTTTGTGATTTTGGGAGCTTAGGCATGATGGTATGCTAGGATTAATAGGTTGGAGTGTGTTTTGTGTTAGAGACAGATGGTCAAGTATCAATGTTTTTTGGGAGGGAGAGGAGTCAAGTGCTGGTAGTTTTGTGTTAGTGGGGTGATCCAGTTGTGATGATTTTGTATGTGTTATACTAAGATGGTCAAGTATAAGTATACAGTCTGTGTTATAGAGTCAGAGTTCCAGCCAGATAACCAGGCTATGGAAAGCATCCTGAATGAGACGGGGATATCTGTAACTGACAACAAGGATCAGGGACGGTTCACATACGCCGGTCCAGCAGCCACTGCAGGACCAACACAGGTCTCATGCTTGTTACTATTTCAAAAGCTGTTAAAATTGGTGGAAAAATAATAACACAATACAAAGTGCACCTGACTGATGATGGCACAACTAGTGTGTTAAATAGAGAATAATACACGCCTTTTTCCATATCACACCCAGTATCAACCCGAGACTGCAATATCAGCCCAAGGGCCGTAGGCCCGAGGGCTGATATTGGTCGAGGGTTGATACTTGGTGTGATATGGAAAAAGGTGTGTTTTATTCTGTTTATTACATACTTTATACTAATAAAAACTACTATCTTATGATCAATTTATCTTTTTGAAATATTGAAAAACGAAAAATAATTCCAAAAGGGGTGTGATTTTGCGGGCTGATATGGGTTTGGGGTGTGATACGGCAGGTACTGATACAGGTTTTGGGGTGTGATACGGCGAGGGCTGATATGGGTTAGAGCAAATGTGTCGTATCGCATATACAAAAAACCCGTATTTATTAGTAAGTATGTAATAAAAGGGGATAACATCACAATAAACATGGCTGATCACCCTCATGTGGAAGTTTTCAGTGATCTTTACTTTTAATTTTGATTATTTTTTCCGGGGACTACTGAATTCCATTAGGATTCTATAAACAGAAGGCTGCTGAACCTTTGAAACAACAGAACACAGACATTAGAGCCCAATTGCTTTGTATTATAACAATACGTATATCTATTTTAAATGCAGAAACGATGATAGCATAGTAGGTCCTGTAGGATTCCTTATTATAAACATATTTCAATGTAGAGAACTAATCCCTTAGGGTTTGTTTTTAACATGCTTTACTCTTAACAAATAGGGTTGCCTGTGGTTTCTAATAAACAATGTTTTACTGTAGAGACTTATTTCTGAAGTCACATTGCACATTGTGGTTTGTTATAAAAAAAACAATTTCTGTGCAGAACTTATTTCTTACATCCCATGGGGTTCATAATAAACAGGCTTTACTGTAGAGATCTAATTTCTTAGTTATGTCTTGCAAACATGTTTATAACTATATTGTCAAACTCAACATCAAGCCTGGTGTGTGATTTCTGTATGTTGAACAAACCTTTATAACCCATTGAATGTGTTTGACAGCAGATCCGCCAGTCACTGTACTACGTTCCACAGACAGACAGGATGTCCATGGCCAAAGCTATGACAGCTTACCAGAACCTGTTGTTGTCCAAACTGGACTCCAAGGGTGCTAAACTCCAAACACCTACAGGTAGTAGCTACTTTGTCTGTACAACATGTAGTTTTTGGGTGTTTTTTTTTATCACAAGCAATATATCTAATCCCTAAAGTTGGAAGCTTTGCATTTTAATGTAGAAAGCATAAACTTGAATTTGTCAATACTGCACACATTGTTTTATTTGTCAGTTTTGTGTATCAATAATATTGAAAAATATGCAGATACGATCAAACTGTCTGAGCAATTCTTGTATTAAGTGACCCTGTCTATAGGGACCCCTTTTCTGCAAAAAACCCCACCAAACTCCACAAAAAACAAAGTTGTCAATTTGTTTTCTTTATAAGTGACCATTCAACATCATTTACTGGTAGTGCCAGTGTGTCCCTTACCGCCCTCCCCTCACAGCTAGTAGATATAATGTCAGGGCTAGGACTAGTAGATATAATGTCAGGGCTAGTAGATATTATGTCAGGGCTAGTAGGTATTATGTCAGGGCTAGGACTAGTAGATATAATGTCAGGGCTAGTAGATATTATGTCAGGACTAGTATACGTAGATATTATGTCAGGGCTAGTAAATATTATGTCTGGGCTAGTAGGTATTATGTCAGGGGTAGGACTAGTAGATATATGTCAGGGGTAGTAGATATTATGTCAGGGCTAGTAGATACTATGTCAGGGCTAGTAGATATTATGTCAGGGGTAGTAGATATTATGTCAGGGCTAGGAGATATTATGTCAGGGCTAGGACTAGTAGATATAATGTCAGGGCTAGTAGATATTATGTCAGGGCTAGTATACGTAGATATTATGTCAGGGCTAGTAGATATTATGTCAGGGCTAGGACTAGTAGATATTATGTCAGGGCTAGTAGATATTATGTCAGGGCTAGTAGATATTATGTCTGGGCTAGTAGGTATTATGTCAGGGCTAGGACTAGTAGATATATGTCAGGGTTAGTAGATATTATGTCAGGGCTAGTAGATATTATGTCAGGGCTAGTATACGTAAATATTATGTCAGGGCTAGTAGATATTATGTCAGGGCTAGTAGATATATGTCGGGCTATATTCATCTTCTCTGAAAGTAAAGGTCAGGCTATAAGAATTTTCCGAATTCTGTCTTTTGGTTAGTACCTTAAAAACAAAATTGTACACACCTGCACAGGTAAGCATCAAACCATTGGTGTGTCTCCTGTTTTGAATGTTGAAAAACTACAAAACAGTTGTACTTCTCAACAAAACAACTTGTCAAATAGAATGCAGGAAATAATCCTATGATGGAATCACGACTTTCTGATCCCTCTGATTTCTTTATTAACATTGTTTGTGTCACAACCTACACAATCGTCAGAAACAGTGTTTGTTACTAGGCAAGCAAAGTAAGGATATATTGGGCCATGCTACTAAGCTTAGCTTGAGTAAAGTAGCTAACTATCAATAATTCATGGTCATATAGCTAAAATGAAAATATAATTTGACCCTTAATAATTGGTTACAAGCAACACAGCAGATTGCAAATTATACTACTTAAGGTTAATTTCAACTTTTGTGAACTTATTCACAATAAGTCTTCCCTATGTTGTTTCATTATCAAGTGCATTGCTGTCTTCCCCAGATGAGTCAGTGAACAATGTCCTGGACAGGTACAACCACAGCCAGCAGATGCCCAAGGTTGTCCAGTCTCCGTTTGGGAGGACAGTGGCTGCCCCTATTAGAAACTCAATTTATAAATCGTATCAGATCCAGTCTAATCTACGCAGCCCTCATCCCAATGCTCCGACAGACAAAGAGGAAATGGCTGATGTTAATTCCCGAACGGTACGTAACAAAGGGTCTCCGAATATAATCTTGTGTATGCCATAATTTATAAAGTGTTATAGATAATTGACTTCAACAGTATACAAGGTAAGAAGAGACAACTCTAATGTAATTTCGTTCTATGTAAACAAGTTATATCAGTGCAAAAATATTACCTTACTTGTTATGCAGACCTAATTTCAACCTGTAATAAACTATTTGGAAAACACTTTATTACAAAATATGAGTTAATTTGTGTTGTAAAGGGACTAGTGCCCCATACCACAATGAACTATACTTGAATTTAATTGTTTTTTGTATACTTTCAGCCTAAAAGGGTGATGACACGGGAGGCACAGGGCAGTTCTAGGAGGGCACCCTATAGCTGCAAATCATCCTCTAAGGTATATCTATCTACAGATTGGCATAGTATAAGCCAAACAGATATCCAAGCTGACTCTCTCAAAGATATCTAGGCCATTTGTTGACATTTGAACAAAGATTCCTTAACTTAGGAAAATACTGAAAGTAAATATTTTTGAGTTAAGGAAAATCCCAAGTGAAGAAATTGTTTGCACCTGTAGTTTTGCTTCCTATGAAAATCTTAAGTTAAATTTTGTGTAAGGTGCATTCGTGAAAATAGAGCCTGTATGCTTAAGACATTTGATTTCTGAACATAGGACCCAATAAATCTTTACCCTCTGGTTAGTCCATTGATATCATTCATCTGTTAGCTTCATAGGATATCATTTGTCATAGGATATCATGTCATAGGATAATGTCATAGGATATCATTTGTCATAGGATATCATTTGTACATTTGTAGATGATATCCTATGACAAATGATGTCCTATGATAAATGATATCTTATGACAAATGATATCCTATGTTTTAAGATATCATTTGTCATAGGATATTAATTATCATAGGACATCATTTGTCATAGGATGTTAATTATCATTGGACATCATTTCTCATAGGATATTAATTATCATAGGACATCATTTTTCATAGGATATTAATTATCATAGGACATCATTTGTCATAGGACATCATTTGTCATAGGACATCATTTGTCATAGGATATCATTTGAACTGTTTTACATCATCCTGCTACATTTCATCTTAAAAATAGTTATGCACTCATGTTTGAAATGGAGTTGGATAGAGAAATCTTTTGGTACTATTTCAATCACTATGATCGGGGAGACTTCGTGGTGAGTACTGGAATTCATGAAAACAGATATATATTGCTCTACTAATGATGTGTGTGAATATATATTACCAGTAATATACATCAGACATTTTAAGCTTACACCAAACACAATTCTTAAAAAACTTGTTTTGTAGAAAAATGTGAAATGGGCAGATGTCTTGAATGATGAAACTAGCTGTGATGTTCCAGTGGCCTTTAAAAAGGTAGGTCAAGTTTTGTATTTATTGATTTTCTGCAAGCTCTTTATTCCGTTCTTCAAGGAATTGGTTTCTTTATGTAATGTTAAACTGGCCCATTTCTGTAGTCACTAACTGGTATAAACCCTTCTGATGATTGAACAAGTGTTTGTGTCTCTGCCTTATTTACTTTTCATCTGTCTTTATTACAATCAAGATACATTGCAATAGTTTACAGAAGAGAAAACAAGTCTGTGACTAACAGGGATTACAAAGAGAGGGTCAGTGGTCTTGTGTTGATCGACTGTATAATAAGGCACCTTTCCCAAAACAGTACATTAATGTCACATCATTTAATGTCATGTTTCACTGAATATCATGTTACCTGCTGACAAATGAGAAGTGATATTAAGTGAAATTCACTTTACAATTCTAGATTTAATTTCCCTACTTTGGCTTTCATAGTTTTGTTTAACTTTTCATTGCAAGTAGAAAAAATCTTGTTAAATTTAAACCAAATGAAAAGTTTATAACCATAAATTGTTCTGATTTCAAAAGACAGGTCAATCCCTCTTTCCCTGAAACAGTCCATCTCATTATTGATCTGTGTTGGCATTTTTATGCCCCCGTCATAAAAGGGGGGGGGGGGCATATAGTGTTACCCATGTCCCGTCGCGTCGCGTCGCATGACCGACTACCGTCCCGTCCCGATTCAATGTAAACACTTAGCAACTTCATTCTTTGACAGATTTTGGTCAAACTTTATACAAAGGTCAAGTATGGGTATACTTCGGACATCGTTGTATTTCAGGGATCCAAGGTCAAGGCCGAGGTCACACTTGCTATATATAGAAAATCATCAACTGATTCAATTTAAACACTTAGCAACTTCATTTAATATGTTATGGAAATGGTAATAACATACAGAAAAAAACATGAATATTATAATCAACTTTAAGTGTAGTACCTTGTGTGTGTGCATGTTACAGGGTATCAAGATCAAAGTGGTTGTAACTGTTTATAGAACACTGAAACTAATTTCACATGTCAGCAGGGGCATTTATGTCTTACAGACATTTTCTAGTTTACGTCAATTTTTCCTAATTTCAACATATTACCTGATTGCATATTGCTACCTGATCTAATGAGGTCATCAAGATTCTGTTTGGCGTTTAAAAGACATGAATAATATAAGTAAGCAATGGAAAACCTATAGAAATCTTGCCTTGAAAACCCTTGAATTTAAGTTTGAAGTTTTATAAACTCCTTGAAAATTAAACGGCACAATATGGTAATAACTTTATATATTATATATTTAAAATAATCATAATTAGATAATCAGAATCAAAAGGTTGTAAGTTGCAAATCTTTTATGGAATTTGATTTTCCCATGATTTATTTTATGGTAAGTGTCCATTCATACACGCTCTTGTTTAATTCTGCAAGAAAACTTGCTTAAATATATTTTTTTACTATGAAAATTAGTAAGCACGTTCAATATATAAAAACTTTTTTTCCACCCAAGTTTGAAGTTAAGCAAAATCGTAATTCATCATACTCCACTTCTATTTGTTGATAGATTCTGCATGATAACCCTTTTAAATATCACGTGCAAGCTTAGATTATTTCTTTGATAGAATGGTGTGGTCATCACTGAAATAAAAAAAAAATCAACAAGCAGAATTCACATCCTGAAGCACCTTTTTGATTAACAACCAGCATAACGTATCTGCCACAGAAACGTCTCAAAGACAGATTCTGTCCCTGATTGCTGACATGGTCGAGTGGTTCTGGGAATTAAAAGGCCGCAACAAATGGAACTTGCTTGATTTGGTTTGAGAAAAGTTTGGGAATATGACTTGACATCATACTTAAATAGGAGAAACAAGCCATTGCATGGTAGTTAAAGTTTGTCTGTCTTAAAAGAATGAACTAGGAAATGTTCATTATTAAATATAACCTGTTGAGTTACCTGCTTTGTGTGGATCAGAACCAGATTTTGGGGCGTAACTTTTACATTCTCGTGTACACTGTATCCTGACAGGTCATTAGAATTTCTAACATATTTAGTAGTGACCCGCATCACCCAGAATTGCAGGGTCTGACATCACATCTGAAATTTTACTTTTACACACACTGAATTTCCTTCCCATGATGCATCAGTTTGTAATCCCCCACACAGCAAAGTTGGCAGGGGTTTAAGAAGAGTGATCAAAACAAATTTAGTAACCAATTACTAAGAAAATCTTCTTACCAAGTAACAGTTTAATTGGTCGTCTTGTTGAGTAAATAGTAAATTACAACAGCAACAAATACAGTGCATGTATGGTGCTATAAACCTGCATTTATAAGTCATCTTAGAATCGGTTATAGATTTATTTGTAAAGGCAACGGAAAGCCTCTGGAGCTCTCAAATTATGTTTTCTTTACTGAATACAAATCTCAAATTTTTCTCAATGCTTTGTTTTGAACTGATATTTTCAATGTTTTAGGAGATTGTCTTATTCTAACATTATCAATGTGTAAACAGCTACCATACAAGGAAATTACAGCAAATCTGATACGTCAAAAACGTTAATCCAGCATATGTAGAAAACATTGATATTCAGTTTTTAGATGAATATCAATGTTAATCCAGCATATGTAGAAAACATTGATATTCAACTTTTAGATGAAAGGAACTTAAGAGTAAAACCAATCCACATGTTACATAATGGTTTTTACCATCATATAGGTCTGGAAATTGTGTCTCAACAATTACAGTTGTCTCCCTTTTAACCATCGGTGCATACCTAACATTGGAGCAAAATAATAACTGACATAACCATGACATTGAAATGTATGTCTGCATATTAAAAAAAATCATTTTAACCTTCCATACATTTTCTAATAAAATATCTGGTATTCATGTACTATGCTGCTGTAGTTTTTGTATTGTTTTCAAAGAAGTAGATTTTATTTTTTTGTAAAGGGAAGTAATTCCAACATCCTTACAATTTATACTTGAATATTAGGAACTACCAGGTACATATGTGGCAGAGGAAACTCCCAATACATTAATACATTACTGTTATCTTGGGAATAGGTTTGTTTGATATAACTAGAAACCATCTGTTTCTATAAAAGTAGTATTGGATTCAACACTGAACATTCTTGCTTTAAAGGGACATCACGTGAAAAGGCGTTTTTTTTTTTAATGAATGTATGTATTGTATGCACTTCCACTTATGTTACCTCGCTATCCCCATATTCATAGTCCGTTCCAAATGTCCAGTTTGACCACTTGAATTGTTCGGGAAAGCCCGGCTAAAAATAGCGCCGATAACGTCACCTGATTAGGCAGCAAACACAAGTGGTGCGAGCGAGATGAAACGGTTTACAAAGGGGCCCTCAGAGAGGGGCCGTCAGGCAACTGCAACTTCTTACCGCACTATGAAACCAAGTTATATGATTTCTAATTCCGTATTCAAACTTATTGAACAGTAATTATTCATCATCAGAAGTTAATTGCACACTTGCCAATATTAAGAATTTAAATTTATTTAGCTTTTAACATAAATTTGTTGCCAATAAAATTAAACAAAGGATGGGGCACAAGTTTTTACAATTTATCACAGCCTTCTCCCGTGACCGGTACAGGTGGTACGGGGCTAAACACTCCCTCAACAATGGGACAAACCTTTCTGTAAAAAGGAATATTCACGAGACGAATATCCCTTTTCAAATGTTTACATAAAGTGCATATATGCAATGACAAACTACACGCGAATATAAAAAGGAAACGTTTGTGAATTTATTTATTACATTAAACAACTCAATGTCTTTGGCCATTTTTTTTCTAGACCATGAATATAAATCTATGTATACTCTCTTTCCCACTTTCACTGTCTCCAAACGCTAACATTTAGGAAGTCATATTAACCATCACACACAATAAACTGTATGGCAAAACCACTACGTGTACATGTAGAATATGTGTCAATAAGGAACGTGTTGAGATACTTGATAATTATATTTTTTCAATACTTTACAGAGATTAAAGCATACTT